AAATATTCTTTTTATATTTTTTATACCTTAGAATATTCTCTTTATAAACACTTATATATAGGTTATTGTGCATACAGAATGATTCAAGAAAGTAAACCTTTCTTCAAATTATTCTTCTTTTCTATTTTTCTAACATGGTATCAGAGCTATAAGCTCTTGGTTCTTCTCTCTTATCATCGCTGTTGGGTTTTTTTTTTAGTTGGATTTTCAATTCCATTCCAGATCTGAAACTTTGTTATTGGAATCTCTTTTCTTACATATTGGATTATTTATCATCGATTCTCATGCCCTTTCTGAGGTATTTTGTTGGTTTTTTATTTCGATCTTGATATCTATTTCTTCATATTTTTAGAGTTTTTCAGTATTGTGAGTTTACTGATTCTATGACGAGTTTTGAAAGGATTGTAACTCATCCTGCTACTGCTATGGTTGCCAAAGAAGTGATAGAACAACCTAATGTCAACCTTGAATCCCTAAAACAGGTGATATTAAATCTTTTTAATGCTCCTACTACCTTATCTACTGCTTCAGGTACCAAACCTTGGTATTTCGATTCTGGTTGTTGTAACCATATGTCTTCAATTACTGCTTATTTCTCTTCGGTGTCACCTAATAATTCATTTCCTAATATTTATTCTGCTGATGGTTCCCGTATGAGTGTTAGTCACATTGGCAATGTTTATACAAAGTCATTGACTTTACCAAATGCCCTTTTAGTTCCAAAACTTAGTTATAATCTTCTATCTGTCGGTCAATTATGTGATTTTGGTCTTGAAGTAACATTTTCTGCTCATGGTTGTCGTGTGCAAGACCCACGGACAAGACAACTTCTTGGAATTGGTCGCAAGGTGAGGCGTTTGTTTGAGCTCAACTATCTGCATATTCCTAATAATAAAATGGATACACCATCATTTCCAAATGATTGATTCATCCAAACCTTGCTTTGTGCTATTGAATTAGAGTTTTTGCAAATTCCATATCAACAAATCTTCCAAGCATGTGCTGCTACTAACATTTCTCCTCTCCATTTGTGGCACTCATGACTCAAACATACCTCAATTGGTAAACTTCGTCCACTTATCTCTTGTGGTTTATTAGGATCAGTTCCGAATGAATCTATGCATTGTGTGTAATGTCAATCTGCAAAGCAACCAACTTTATCTTTTTCAAGTAGTCATTCTCATTCTACTGCTCCTTTTGATCTTGTGCATTCTAATGTTTGGGGTCCATCTCCTACACCCACCATGGGGGGTTCCAGGTACTTCATATTATTTATTGATGATCATACTCGTTTTACCTAGATATACCTTTTGAAAAGTCGCTCTAAATTATCACAAATTTATATTGATTTTGCTACCATGGTCAAACTCAGTTCTCTAAAATTATTAAAGCTTTGAGAACTGACAATGCTACTGAATATCTTGGTACTAAACTTCAATCCTTTTTGAAAGAATAGGGTACACTGCCACAACAATCTTGTCCTTATACTTCTAAACAAAATGGGCGAGCCGAACACAAACACAGACACATTCTTGATTCTGTCCGTGCTCTGTTCATTTCATCTTCTTGTCCAGAGAGATTTTGGGGTGAAGCTGCTCTTACAGCTGTTTATCTTATTAATCACATTCCATCATCAGTCCTTAATAACCAGTCTCCATACGAGCGTCTATATGGTATTCTTCCTACTTATAATCTTCTTAAGGTTTTTGGTTGTGCATGTTTTGTTCTTCTTCCACCTCATGAACATAACAAGTTAGAACCTAGAGCTCGATTATGCTGTTTTTTGGGTTATGGGATTACACAAAAAGGATATCGTTGTTGGGATCCTGTGTCACAAGAACTCTGAGTTTCACGTCATGTTGTCTTTTGGGAACACACTATGTTCTCATCATTGTCAAACTTCAAAGTGTCATCCTCTCATCAACCTCCATTTTTTACTAATCATTCTATTGAGCTATTTCCTAGTGATTCTAATGCAGGTACAGCTGAAGAGCTCTACAATGCCTCACCACATGCTCCAACTAGTTCTGTAGAAGATGATCTGCCTGCTGGTATTGCATTATATAATTTTGAGCCTTCTTCTACTTCCTCGTCTGTATCACCTGTTGATTCTACAAATGAGCTTATTTTCCCATCCTCGGGTCATCCTACTCGGGTAAGAAACCCTCCCAACTACCTTCGTGATTATCATTGTTTTCATGCTATTACTTCGTTACATGAGCCTCAATCCTATCAAGAGGCCTCTTTTAACCCTCTTTGGCAACAAGCTATGCAAGATGAATTACAAGCTCTTGAAAACACTCATACATGGGATTTAGTTGATCTTTCTGCTGAAAAATCTCTAATAGGCTGTAAATGGGTGTACAAGATCAAAACACGATCTGATGGTTCTGTGGAGCGTTATAAGGCATGCTTGGTTGCCAAGGGTTTTACACAGGAGTATGGAATCAACTATGAGGAGAAATTTGCTCCAGTTGCTCATCTTACATCTGTGCGTAGTTTGCTTGCTATTGCTGCTATGCAGAGATGGAAATTGTTTCAGATGGATGTGAAAAATGCTTTTCTTACTGGTGACCTAGAAGAAGAAGTTTATATCAAACAACTTCCTGGGCTCAACCATCCTTCAAACAAGGTATGTCGATTGCATCGTGCATTATATGGGTTGAAGCAATCCCCTTGAGCCTGGTATGCAAAGTTTAGTGCTATTGTGAGTGAGTTTGGTTTTACTTCCAATCCACATGATACAACTTTGTTCATTCATAAGACCGCTCGGGGTATGGTCCTTTTACTTTTTTATGTTGATGACATGATTATTACTGGAGATGATGTTGCAGGTGTTGAGGAGTTAAAACAATCTCTCAGTTAAAATTTGAGATGAAAGATCTTGGTGTTCTGAGTTTTTTTTTTTTGGGGGCTTGAAGTGACCTCTTCAAGTGATGGCTACATGCTTTCTCAAGTAAAGTATGCCTCCGATCTTGTTTCTAAAGCTGAACTCAATGATGGTAAGAGTGTTTCTACACCTCTTGAACCTAATGTCAAGCTTACACCTATGGATGGCTCTTCACTTTTTGATCCTACTCGCTATCAGCAATTGGTTGGTAGTCTAGTTTATCTTACTACGACACACCCTGATATAGCATATGCAGTTCACATTGTTAATTAGTTTATGGCTACTCCTCGCTCCACTCATTATGCAACAGTACTTTGCATTATTCGCTATGTTAAGGGAACATTATTTCATGGACTCTATTTTTCTGCCAACTCCTCTCTTATGCTTCGCGCTTACTCTGATGCTGATTGGGCTGGTGATCCTTCTGATCATAAATCTACCATTGGTTACTGTCTTTTCCTTGGTAATTCTCTTATCTCTTGGAGGGTAAGAAACAAACTATTTCATCTCGCTTTAGTACTGAAGCTGAGTATAGAGCTCTTGAGGATACCACATCAGAACTTCTTTCATTGCAGTGGCTTCTTGAAGATATGGGCATTCCTCAATCTTCTTCTACTGATTTATATTGTGATAATCAAAGTGCTATGCAGATTGCTCATAATGATGTCTTTTATGAACGCACTAAACACATTGAGGTTGATTGTCACTTTATTCGCCATCATGTTGCACAAGGAACTGTTCATTTGGTTTTTATTGGCTCCGCTGATCAACCGGCAAATCTCTTTACCAAGGCTCATTTTCCTGGACGTTTCGTACTCTTCTTTCCAAACTCAAATTGGTTTCATCACAATCACCTTGAGTTTGAGGGGGGATGTTAAGATGTGAACACAATTATGTTTAGAATTATTGTAAATATTTTATATTTTAGAATATTTTCTTTATATATTTTATACCTTAAACTATTCTCTTTGTAAACACCTATATATAGGTTATTATACATACAAAATGATTCAAGAAAGCAATAAACCTTTCTTCAAATTATTCTTCTTTTCTGTTTTTCTAACAAGCCGCAGCAAGCATCCTGTCTTGGTATATATCAAAGCAGCCTTGGTGTAAACAACATCAAATATAAACCCCAGTTCTGCCGCAGCTATATTGAAATGACTTCCACCCCTAAAGCTTGCGAAGCATTTCTAGCACTTTAATTTGACTTGATGGCTGAATTGATCAACAGTTTCACTCAGATACTCGTGTATTCTTACTTTAAAGGACAGTAAATACTCCATATGGCAGAGGTAATCGTTGACATCCGGTCTCATAACTGAAAACAATAAATAATCCAGGAGCACTATTTTTTATTCTTGATTTTCGAATGCAGGGAAAGATGGATGAGCAGGAACATTCAAGATGGAGATGATCCACTTGGATTTCTTCAAGTTAGTGAGCTTAAGACACCAAATCCTCTCTCCCTATTTAATGATTCCAGCTAAAATGAGAGGAAGGGCCAAAGAAGAAAACCAACAATGGGTCCATGACAAATAAATAACGTAAATGGCAAAGATGGATTGAACTACTAAGTCGAGAAGATTTCTGATCCAGAGCTGGGCACCTTCAAAAGCATATGCAATGATAGTGTCAGGGCCACCGAGATGAAGTATAAGTAAGCGAGCCCATAGTGCTCTTAGAACATTTGTGGTGGGAAATTTATGTGGGAATTAGAAAGCTTACAAAGAGCAGCAATGGCGACCCAATTTTTGCTTTGGTAGGCAAGCCAGAGAATCATTCTGTTGATGACGTTAATGCCAACAATGTGCTTTCTGAGCTTGCCAAAGACAACGAGACTGATTTGTAAGAGTAGGCACATAAGAACCATCGGCCTTACTTCCCATGCATTCTACGTATTCCGTTCATTCCATGTATTCCGCAAGAAAGCTGAAAATGAGCTTGGAATTGATGGTGGTGTTGCTACTGCTGCCTTCACACTGTTTTATACTCACAAGCAACGTCAAAAAATAAATTAAAATAATGATAATAATTAATTGATATTTATTATTATACAATTTGTTGGACATACCTTACAAACATTGCTGATGGTGGAAGCCCCTTGGGAGTATTTTTTAATATATAGTTTGGAAAAATCTTTTCCGTTGGAATGAGTGAAGATCGATGTTAAATATATATATATATATATATATATATAGTCAACACAGACAATTCAAGTCAAGATAGAAAACAATAAGAAGAGAATCCTGATTGGGGTAAATGTTGAGGAGTGTTGGATTTCTAGAGCATCTGGTTCCTTAAAATACAGAACTGGATCAGTACCATTTCAATAATTGTGAATGCCGATTGGTGATAATCCTAGGAGAGAAAAAATGTGGATGCTGGTGATTGAGAAAATACAGAGGAGATTGGTAGGGTGGAAGGCAAAATCCCTTCCCTTTGGCAGTCGGTTAGTCCTGCTTAAATCAGTACTCTATTCTCTCTCTTTGTATTACTTTTCCATATTCAAAGTGCCTAATTGTCTCTTACATGTTCTTGAAAATCTGAAGAGAAATTTTCTGTGAGGCTTTACAGGGGAGGAGGGATGGAAAATCCATTGGGTGGGCTGGGATAAGGTGTGTCGAGATAAGAAGAATGGAGGTTTAGGTGTTCCTAACCTTAGGAAAAGAAATTTGTCACTATTGGGTATGGTGGGCTAAAATCGGAGAAAACTCTAATGGCTTATGGAAGAAGGTGCTGTTAGAGAAGTATTATGGAGCGGGTAAAGAGTTTGAGGTGGGAAATCATAGTCGAAGGAGACTATCAAAAGTGTGGGTCGATATAGTATCTTTGGGTGAAGAAGAGGCCGAGATGAGAGAAAATTGTAGGTAAAGGGTTTAAATGGGAAATAGGGGAAGGGAAAACTGTTAAATTCTGGAAGGATGTTTGGTTGAATGATATGAATTTAGCGGTAGAATTTCCTATATTACAGAATTTGGCGGGGTCGGCGGAGATCAAGAGTTAGCGATATGGACTTGTGGTGTGATGGAGAGTGGAAATGGAATCCAAGTTGGAGGAGAAGCCTGCTCAGGAGGGTCAAGAAGAAGGTAATAAGTTATGAGAATTATTAGGAGTTAAACTGTCTGAAGGGAAAGAAGACAAAAGGGTGTGTGGAAATTTGATGGGGGAGGTGCATATTTGGAAAAAAAAAAGGCATACTCTCTAATGATACCCCGATTCAAACTACTTTGGATGCTGTCTTTTGCAAAGCTATATGGAACAATCTGGTACCTGTTGGAGTTAGCTTCTTCGCTTGGAGAATGTTTTTGGACAGGTTACCTTCTAAATCAATTTGCTTAGAAGAGGCGTTCAAGTGGATGGAGGATGCAACAGATGCCTAAGATGCCGACCGGAGGCAGAGGACGTTGATCATGTTATATTCGGATGTGGTTATGCATATCAAGTGTGGATGAGATGCTTGGAATGGTGGGAATTCCACGCTGCAATGCCGAGGTAAATTCAAGAGGTTTTTACGGAGATTGTGCTTGGCCATACAAAGATCAAGGTGAAAAAAGCCTAGGCCTTTTTATTTCTAGTTTCTTTTTTCTTTTTTTTTTTATCAGAGCCTTTTTATTTCTAGTAATTGGGTGGTCATTGTGGAACGTCCGCAACAACTTTGTGTTTTAAGGGGCAGGGCATATTAGTGGATGACTTGTTTGAGGCAATTCGTGTTCGGTCGTTTTTATGGTAGAAAGACAGGTCACAAGATTCTTACATTCTTTAATTGATTGGGAACAAAATCCATCTGATTGTGCTGAAGAAATTTGAGGAAGTAAATGATGTCCTCTGATAGAGGAGAGGACCTGTTTTGTGTATATAAATGGGTAAAAATACCTCTAGTACTTTACAATGATAGAATTTTTATTAATAATTTGTTGATTCTAATAAAAAAAGTTTGAAATCCTTTAATTAAGTAAAATCTTAAATTCAAATCTTATAAATAGAGAAATAAATATTAAAAAAACTTTTTCTTCATGAGTGTGATGGATGACTTAACTTTATATTAATTGGAGTTTAATATGACTTCCAGATATGAGTTTAGTATCAAAATAATAAAAAAAAATTATTGATAAAAAAAAATAGTCAAGACAGAAAACACTTTGTCCATGGAGCTAAAGAGACTATACTAACGATGCACTTAAGAATGTAATTCAAACTATTATAGTATATTTATGATGCACTTAAAGTTATAATTCCATCCACATGCAAAACCTCTAAATCTGTCCCTTGAATAGAAAAGTACAAATAGATAAGTACAGATAACCAACGAGAGGTTGGATCAAGTGGTACGGAGCAAATCCCGTTGAGAAACTCACCCATCATTTTCAAGTGCGTGACCCGGATCGAGTCTGAATTAGTCGAGGTGAAGCCCTGATACCGCCGAGAAACCCAAAAAAGTACAAATAAATATGTCCCTAAAAAAAAGTGAAAATAAATTATTTTTTAAATTATCAATTAAAACAAATCATTTATTATTTAACATATAACATCATCACACATTAACTTTTCATTAAAAAATGTTTAGGTGATAAATGAATTTCCAACGTGAGATATATCATATGTTAAATAATAAATAATTTATCTTAATTGATAATTTATAATGAAAATTTATTTTTTTAGGGACAAATCTGTTCTTACCCTCGTATTTGAGGAATGAATTTCGGGGCTCTACCCTACCCATTTTCTCATTCTATACTGCTGGAAATTAAAGTAGAGAATTTGGGAACATAATAAAAAGTAGCGAATTTGGATATGAAGGGTTGGTAACATTGAATAAAGTGTAAGCCAAGAATATAATTCTATCACCCCCAACGTTTTCCATACAGAAAGCTAAAGTGAACACCTGATTAATAGTACCTTTTTTTTAACCGAAAAGAAAAGAAAAGAAAAGATTAGGATAAATTAAAGACGCATGAAAATTAATACTACTAATAATAAAGAAAATATGTGTTTCAATGCAGGCTATATAACCATAGTAAAAAGTACAGTTTAGATTATGAAATTATATTTTTAATGAATCCTGTTTTATTAATTTATTAAAGGTATTTTAATATTTTTATACCTTAATTTTAGTTTTTATGTCTAGTCCAAACAAACAAAAAATCCCAATATCTAACAGTAATAAGGACAAAAATAATACTCCTTCCATTCCAGAATTATAAAGGCTTTTTTATTTAGAAGTATCTAAGAATAGTAATCATTTTTTTCATATTTTAAAAGAGACAAATATTTTTTTCTTAATGTGACTTTGTCATTATCTCTTGATTTTAATTATCTATCATATTATAAAAAATTTCTTTATTTTTATTTTTTTAGAGATAAAATTTGTAAAAATATAAAATATCTTTAAATTTTTAATCTGAAATAAAATTTTAAAAAAAAAAAGTCTGTTATTTTGGAATAGGAAGAGTCTAGAGAATGAGAATGAGAAATTAGAATGTAAAAACATCCAATCATTGTCATAAAATATGTGGAATATAGTGTGAGTCTTAGATGTATTCCATCCATCCGTCTTCCTTATGTGACTAAATATACTAACTTTATTAATAGAATGTCCTAATTTTTAGTTTTTGATAATAATATTCCATGTTGGCCTATAATTCAAAGTAGTTACATATTCTCATTCTTTGCTTCAACATATGCACAATATTATAGTGTAGTAAAGGAGCTAACTTTTGGGAACTTTCCTTTCATATCCTCCTACATCTTTGTTATGATGTGTAACTTTTATTCTCTTCATATAACACATGCACATGAGATGCGTGTAGGGTTATTAACAAATAAGGTAATTTGTAAGTAATTCGTGAGTTACTTGAACTTGATTTATTTGATAAATGAGTTGAGTTTGAACTCAATATTGAGTTCAATAAAAAACAAATTTGAACTTGATCTTACATAACTACTAGTGAGTATTCTGTTTAAAATTAAAAGGGCTTCTCTTTATGAAAGGGTATGGTCTGTGGTGCTTGCTAACTTTGGTATGATTTGAACCCAGAAGTTTTTGCTATGTCCTCATTGTTTTCCAGTTTTCCTTTAAGTGAAGAAGATGATCTCTCAAAACATCTAATAAATACACTCGAGTACAATAATGGTTGAAGCTTTAAATTCTCAACAATAAAGAATTTGAACACTAAGAAGAAGATTGCACAAGAACCTAATTGGATGAAGACTCGCACACTCTCTCAAATGCACACAACAAGAACACCCATAAATTCTCTACGGCCAAATCTGAGACCATAAAGACTACACATCCTATGTCATCACTTCTTGTATAATACGGAAGCCTCCCATGACCCAGATTAAAGTAAGGAGTTCACGGCCGTATTGTCCCAATTGCTTAACATGGTTTACATGCTGGTACGAAGTGCTGCATAGAGAAGCATCTCAATCCACATTGCCTTTATCAGCTCCCATTTATTATCGCATTGCTCCAATTTTGTGGCCACGTATCCAGCAAACTTTGGCAAGTCCTCTAACGCTGTCCTGTTCTCCAACGCAGTCCTGGGTCTTACATGGAAAAAATATATAGTATGTATAATTAAAATTTTTGGATTAATTTAATTATACTTGTTTACAAATGAATAAATAAAAGAACAAATCAAACCTGAGTTCGGACAGGTCGAGGAGTGAATTGAAGGCAGCCTTCTTTTTGGAGGCTTCAGAGAAAGTGTCCCTGAGCTTATCAAGAGCATGATCCAACCAGAAACTCCTACAGTGCTCAGGCAGTAGCATAGCAGGTCGCATGACTAGCAGATACATCATATAATCTGATAAATATTTGCTGATCTTCATTTCTTCACTGGGAGCATTTTTTATGAGATCATGATCTTGACGGTAACAAATACTTGTAACCAGGTGCCAAGTTATGATGCTGGAATCAAAGTACACTTTGATGCTCCAATTGAGGTGATCACGTACATCAGATTTTGCCAAAAAGGAATCACCCATTCTGGCAAATTCATTAAGCGTTTTTTCCCCCCTTGTTGCTTCAAAGGAATCACCCATAAAGAAGGAATCTAGCCGCCCTTGGTAAACCTCTTTCTGCCTCAAACAGCTTGGAACATTCTTAAACCTGGTATACTTGAACCTATGCCAATTTTCAAGAATATCACTACCACAATTCTTTTCTAAAAAACCATAAACCTTCGCCTTACTGTAATTCCAGCAATAATCCAACAAATCAAATTGTCCCATCTGACTTGACCTCACCTTCTGTTGAGACAATAAGCAAGGGATGTATTGCAAGACATACTGGAGAATCTTGCGTACCAGACAATTGTCATGAAATAACATCAGAAGCACTGCCCAGTCAGAAGAAAGCATTGAGAACACTGTACAAAATTCCATCGTAACAGCTCCAACCAGCAAGCTGATTGTTATGAAAATATCAACTCTTGAGAAACTGAATGTTGACTCATTCATGACGCTGATTAGGAAGAGCAGAAGAACTGCTAAGGAGCACGTGAAGCTGCAGAGGCGCAAGAAGCATCCTTTCTTGGTATAAATCAAAGCAGCCTTGGTGTAAACAACATCAAATATAAACCCCAGTTCTGCAGCAGCTATGTTGAAATGACTATCGCTTAGCTCACTACCTTTAAGCCAGTCTTGCACAATTAACTTGACTTCTTGGCTGAATTGACCAATAGTTTCCCTCAGATAGGTTTGTATCCTCACTTTAAAGGACAGGGGATACTCCTTGTGACAGAGGTAATCATTGACGTCTGGTCTCATTGCTGAAAACAATAAATAGCCTAGGAGTACTACCTGTGATTCTGGATTATCTAATAATTCATTTAATTCAGGGAGAGATAGATGAGCAGGATTGTTAAAGATGGAGATGATCCAACTGGTTCTCTTTGAGTTAGTGAGCTTAAGACACAAAATCCTTTCTACATATTTGATGATTCCAGCTAAAATCAGAGGAAGAGTCAAAAGGGAAAACCAAACTTGGGTCCATGACAAATAAATGACATAAATGGCAAGGATGGATTGGACAACTAAGGTGAGGAGATGTCTGGTCCAAAGCTGGGTATCCTCAAAAGCATAGGCAGTGATAGTGTCAGGGCCACCAAGATGAAGAATAAGTAAAGGAGCCCATAGTGCTCTTAGAACGTTGGTGGTGGGAGATTCTGCATGGGAATTAGAAAGCTTACCGAGAGTGGCAATGGCAATCCAATCCGCACTTATGTAGGCTAACCAGAGAGTCATTCTGTTTATAAGGCTAACACTGTATTTCCTGCGCCTGGCTAAAATAAAAAGGGCGATTTGCAAGAGTAAGCTTAGAAGAACCATCCCCCTCACGTCCCATGCATTCCATGTCTTCCGCAGCAAAAATGAAAATGAACTTGCAATTGGTGACGCTGTCTTCTCCCTGTTCAATACAGCAATAAACAAAACACATACGGATATTAATACAAAATTTACATGAATTGAAATAATTATAATAATTGATATTAATCATTACAATTTGCTGGATTTACCTTCCAAACATTGCTTTTCATAAGCTGATGAAACCTCGGCAATCTTCAATATATATAGTTTGGGCAAGTACTCCTTTCTTTTTTTTTCTCCTTTTGGCTTAGTAAACTTTGATGATTGATGTCATATATATACACTCAAAACTCAAAAGATAGAGTACCTGCA